TTAGGGTTTGGGGTTTAGGGTCTCTCGGGAGTCTGACGGATTTGCTTCTGGGGAGTCTTCGGGGGTTTTTGTGGTTGGGGGGTTTAAAATAGGGACAGATCGGAAACCCGGAACACGACCCTACAGAAGCCCTCAAACCTTAAAGGTTCCTAGGAACTTCTAGCACTAAGATCCTCAAGCCCGGCTTTTGTGCCCGTTCTTCTTCCCGAAGAAGGAGAGACCCCCCCCCCATCCCCTCCCCCTTCCTAAAACAAGAGACACCAAAAAGCCTCGAAGATCCCTACAACCCCCTAAACCCTAAACCCTGAAGCCCTGCCCTAAGCCTGAAGTCTTCCCAGGAGCTCCCGTGGACACCAGATGATGTTACACCATCCAGCAGCAAAGAACTCGAGGTCGGGAGATTAGTCTAAAATGCAGTGGTTTAGGGTTTCGGGGGGTGTTAATAATTGGCATAGGGTTCCTTTTTATCAAAGGTTCGTTTAAAGGGTGCTGCTAAAGGAGTTTGGGATTAGTTCGATTTGAGAATTAGAGTCGGGCTTTGAGGGAATAGGGAGGCCAGTAGTCAAAGTGTAGAACAGGGCTTCAGGGTTTTAGGGTGCATGGTAGAATCGGATTGTAATGGGGCTTTGGGCTTGTATTGCGCTTGCTATGGACTAGAATGGAATACTCTTAACTGCACACCTTTTCCTTGAATCAGGACTGAGGCCGGGATCCGAATATTGTCGCGAGTGGTACTGGGGTTTAGGCCTGTCAGCTGTGGTTCGCCTCCAACATCGGTCAAGCTGGTCAGTGCATTATTCTGAGAGTTTATACCGTGGGGATTAAATTTATACATGAAGTTCTGGTTCATGCTTTCTTGCAGTATAGTAACTAGTATAGTTTAGTATATCTGGTTCATGTTTTCTTGTAGTATAGTAGCTAGTATAGTAGGATAGAAAGCTTCCCCAAGCCTCTTTTGGGGTTTAGGGTTTCGGCTTTCGGCCAGTCTAGACTGGCAAGCTCCAACCCTTCGGAGACATTGATGGCCAACTAATGCGTGACCATTACTATGACTCTATGACTATTGCTATTACTGTTTCCATTACTGTTGCTGTTGTTTCAACTACAGATACTACTTGGACTGGTATTTTGATTGTTATTACTGGCGCTATCACTTTTGCGAAGACATGAGGAGCGGAAGGAAGAGCCCGTGGCGGTCGAGCCCGTGTTGCGAGAAGCATCCACGGTGTCATTCTGGTCCACTTGAAAGACGTTCTGATGACTCCGAAGATGATAGATCTCTTTTTAAGGTTGATGGATCATGGACCCTTCCGCTGTGTTCGGAATCTCCCAAGTGCAGGTAGTGTCGTTTTAAAGGATTTCAAGCGAGGTCAGGTCCTGTTGCCAAGTCTGCTTTTCGAAGTTCCTTCGTCGAACTTGAAGATCAGGCGGAATTGGGCTAGAGTTCTTAGCTTGCGCAGGGATCTTTTCCAGGTTTCCAGGGCTGGATGGGTGGAGCGTGGAAGCTCCAGCCAGCCTTCTTGCTGTGCATTGGTGTTGCACACATTGTAGCCCATTATAATTTCGTTGTGATGGCAGGACCAGAACATGTAATTCTCGCTTTGCTCTAAAGTCTCACCGCTTTCGGCTTCGAGTGAACACGGGCGCAAATGCAATGCTAGAGCCAAAGAGGGCTGTCCGTGTTGCTTTGGATCGGCGGTCGATGTGCAGGGCGCAGGGCGCGGAATTGTGGGGGTTCTGACTGTGCAGTCTGAGGGCAGCGCCGCCGGGTTTCTATGGTATTCAGCGCAGACAGTACTACTATACTTACAAGTGCTACTACTACCACGACGACGGCTATGCCTACGACTATGCATGGGCCTACGTTGTAGCCCACGGCCATCTGACTATACGACTGCTGCAACGGCTGCGACGATGACGGCGGCGATGACGACTAGTGACCGCGACCTTGGCTGCAACTACGACGACGGCGACGACGAAGACTACACATATCACTTGCTACCCACTACCTACTACCTGCTGCTACTTGCTCCCGCTCGTACCCCCGCTGCCACTGCGACGATGGCTACTAAAACCACCAGCACCACCGCCACACAGACAATGACGACAGTGACGACGTGTGCTACCACCACACCCGCCACCACGACGATCCCAGTTTCCAAGCCCTCGAAAGCGCTCTCGCAATGCCCAATCCCAGTACCGAGTCCCCAGAGTCCAGTCCCAGAGCTTCCCTCCCTAACAGTTTAGCATCCTTCTCGAAACACAAGGCAAGGCCCTAAACCCCTGGTGTACGTAGCTGAACACCTAAGCCCTTAAAAACCCAGAAGCCTTACAGCTCCAAACCCAAACCCGTAACTCATGCCTACAACCCTGGAGCCCTAAGTTCGATACCAACAAGTGTGTTTTTCAGTCAGGCTGAGGAAGTGCGGGGTTTATAGAGTAGACCATTCCGCAAAAGGTAATTTCGAACCTTAAGACCGTTGCTCTTGGCTTCGCTTCCCAGCTGCCCATTCGACGGAACCCTAAACCCAAAAGCCCAAACTCTTATATAAACCCTGAACCCAAAATAGAAAGCACAAACCTCACACATAACCCCAAGCTTCAAACCCACCCAAACTCCAAACCCCGAAGCAAGAAAAAACACAGCTTACCTTTCCAAGGCACTGACAGTGAAAAGCTCGGACAAAGTTCACGAGTCTTTTGCAGAGGGCTCACCCGGAGACTCCCATACCCCTATAGATGCTTCAAGTGAACCAGGAATGCTTACTAGAAGTGGGGGTATGTTCCCCAATCAAAGGATTAAGATGCATTCCTTAACTACAGGTTTAAGACCTGTTCCCCAGTTGAAGGTTTACGATATCTTCCTCAATGATAGGCTTAAGATGTATGTATTCCTTAGTTCTAAGGGGTGAGGAGTCATGGGGCTGGCCCTCAAGGAAGTTGTACGAGCGCCGGTCAAAGCGAGAGCATCGAAAGCGGATGCAGGATGCCCAGTGTAGAGGGTAGAGGGTTTAGGGCCATGGTAAGTCTCATTAATGGAGGTGGATTTATCATGCAGGGGTCTACGTTAATCTAAACGGAAGCAGGCCGAAGTGGAAGGCTTCCAATTCATGGACCTGCTTGCAGTTTAGGGTTTAGGGTTTGTGGGAATTCATTCATGGCATGCACATGCTCGTGAAGCAAGTGCCACAGAAGCAAACGAGCATACAAGCATCTCAATTATTCGTCATTGGGGCTCCATATCAAAATTGTATTATATTGTAGCATAATATGCACATGATATACTCCAAACACTGTTCAATTCAGCTGTTATGACCCCCATATTTCCTAACAGTACGCTTCTGCAGCTTTCCTCTCGCAAAGCAAAGCGCAGCAAAGCACAGCAAAGCAAAGCAAAGCA